CTAGAGTTAATGGTCCATGGTGATATTCAATATACTTAATAATATTGATGAGTATCATATACACACGCACCAACACGCACAAACACATTCACACACACACACACACAGGCACGCACGCAAGCACGTACGCACGCACGCACGCATGCACGCACGCACGCACGCTGGCACACACGCTCGCACATACACACACTCGCACACAAACACACACGCTCAACACATAGCTGTGTTTAGTTGATAAAGTTACCTTATATTTTATATATTTCGTGTTTTCTCAAAATTTGATCTTGTTATCGGAGGTGAGAGAGTTTAGGTTCCAGTATCTTACAAACATAATGTAGAACAAAAATTCTATTACATGTTTCTAATTTTGTATGTATAACAGTTATGTTTGTGGAGAAAATAAACGTATATTATTATTATACTTAATAATATTAATGAGTATTATTCTAGGTATGGGACATTATAGGGAGGTCCATAGCTGTGACAGAAAGGCCTGACGACTTGGGTCGTGGAGACAATCCTCAATCTAAAATTGACGGCAACAGTGGAAGGCCGTAAGTACAGATTTTATTATTACATATTATGGAACCAGAGATGGGCAATGCGCCCGGGCTTTAACCTGGCGCTTTGTTAATCCCGGATTTAAATCGGGTTAAAACCCATCAACGCCCGAAATCCAGGGCAAAAACTATGTATAACTAAATACTTGTTGTCGGTCATTCTCTGACTAGTGTTTTTACTATCTAATTTCCGTGGCAATTTTTAGTATTTAAGTATGTAAGTTGGACAGGCTGTTTATTACATTATAGGAAGACGACGCCTATCGGATGCGTAGCTAACTAAATCGATTTACTCACTCATTTCCTAATAACATTTTCACAGATAAGAAATTTGTCCTAACAAAACAGTTTACCTCTATGCTGGTCGTAATTTGCGATTTTTGAACACGTTATAGATAGTTTATGATATGTATTTCCCACTACGTATTCTAAGGGCGCGTTCCCATTACGTCGTGACGACGGTTACCTATGAGTAGTCCGAAACGACATTTGCCAGAAATAACGTTTGGTCGAAATTTCATAACCTCGAAAGTAATTTAGAGGAATTTTTTTTGAAACCTAACTTAACCTAACCTAACCGATCCTAATCGTGTCTTTGCAATAAACATTCAACATATCCTGTACGAACAACTGTTTCGTTGTAATTCGGTTTTCGGTGTAATTAATTCGAACAAACGTTTCGGACAAAAAAAATTTCGACTTTGTGATAGGTTAGGTGATAGGGTTAGTCGTGCAGTTTAAAGTGTCGTGGCTTGTATATTTAAATGAAGTTGTTCAAGTATAGTACAACACGATTAACTGTCGTTCACGACTTTTTGACGTTACGACGACAGACTGTCGTGACAATGGAAAGAGCTAGAACGACAGTCGTCCGACGATAAATAAAACGTTACGACACAATGGGAACGCGCCCTAACCCACTACCTAGTTCTAATACAGCAGGATAGGTGGCGCTGATCTCCTTGAAGTTCCTTTCCTGGCCCTATCGCTAGCATATAAGACGTTTGTGTGCGAAATGTGAAAGAGAATCCTTAGGCTATTTCAAGTCCTAACATGGCTTTATTTAGTACGCAGTAGACCCCAAGACCATATAGTTGGGTCGCACTTTATTAACGCAGGATAGGTCAGCTCAAGGGTTACAGATAATTAGATAACTTTCTGTCAATTGATTTTTTTTATACCACTCGACTCGAAACACGTAGGTAGAACAGTATTGTTACATAAAAGAACGGCAAAAATGTAATTATTTAATAAAAAATGAATACTAATTATTTTTATTATAAAAAACACAAAAAAATTATTGTTCATGTTTTAGGATAAATACTCGGTAAAAACGGATATTTATCGGGTAAAAATCCATCTCTGTGTAGCTGTCAATTTATACAAATTAGAACAAGCACGATAGAACATCGACATTGCACCTTTTTATTCTCATCTCCTCAACTGCATCCGGAAGAACCCAATCCTTGATAAAACATAAGTATTATTCAAGTAACTATATTATTATTACAATATTCGAATATTTAATAATATTGCAATATAATATAATACTCGAATACTTAAATACTAAAAATTTCCACAGAAGTTAGGTAGTGAACACTAGTGGCGAGAATGACCGTTGCCAATCGAGTTTTGCTCAAGTTTAATGATATTATTCATTGACTTACAATTATATGGACGTCGGGTCCGCGCTACAAAGTGTCCGAACTTATAGGGCGTTAAAATCGTATACAGAGCGTCATTAACGCTCTAGTCTTCGTTTGTTCGACTGACAGCGAAGCAAGCAAAATTAGACAGTACTGCGATGATATTACAATTTAAATTCAACGTTTTAGCTTTTTCATATTCCTTTACATGTCACTACGTTTAAATAGGTTGACTTGGGACATTTTTTTCGTGGTTTTTGTATTAGACCCGTCGTCCATTTATTTGTAAGTCAATGATATTATTACGAAATGTTTATTGCTTGCTTACATTTTTCGTCTTTCTATTAAGTCGATTCGCTTGAAAATTGATTTAGTAGCAATAGAACTTGGGAAAGAGTTTGTCCAGGGAAGTACTGCCACCTTACCTATTTCTGCTGCCAAGCAATAATGTTAGCATTGCTGTGTTCCGGTTTTGAAGGGTAAGGGTGTTGGTGAAATTACAGGCACATGGGACTTGTCAACTTATGCCTCAGTGTGACGGGCGCAGTGGCAGTGCCCCTCAAATCTTTGCAATTTAAAGCTCTGAGTGGCACTGCAACTGTTATGGACAGGCGTGTCGCTTACCATCAGGTGCACAATTTGATCGTCCCGTCGCTTAGTATTATAAAAAGAAGAACCTCGTCCACGATGATGACGATTAAAAAAAATATCATATAATGAATATTTTTTATCAATTCCGGCTTAGAATCGGTTGTGGCATCATTGCGCGATCAGCTGGTGTTTTCGAGAACCCGAAACGCATTTGCGCGTGCGATGGTGTCGTCGTATGGGATGAAAAGGGACGCCCGCTGGCTGGCAAGGTAGATATTTTACAATCTTTACTAAAGACGTCACTATATGCTAAATATTCCCACACACTTCACCAGGCCACAGACTTTTGTCAGTTGTTGCGAATAGATGGCATAGTGGTCTACTAAGGTACTTAATTTTTGTAACAGTAACACCTATGGATCTATTTTTGTCTGAAATAAATGCATTTTATGGAATAATTTATTTATTTTATGGAAATGAAGTAATTTCACAAAAAAATAATTGAATGTCAATAAAAAATTTAATTACAGTTCATAGCGACATCTCTAGCCAGGACCCCGATTTAGAACTCTTCGATATCTTAACAGAATCATTCGATTGGATATCTTTCTTGAATCGAAAGTCGCTTTCCGAGCTATTCTGAACATTCGAGTTTTTTCGAGAGATTCGGATACGATATCGTTATCCAACAACGTTTTCGGAGTTAGTCGGCGAATATAGATTATATGAAAATTAAAATTCTTTTATATACATTTCTAAAGTTAAACAAAATCCAGATTTTCATTAAAATAATAAAATATTTCCATATTACATTCTTGCTTTGTAAACAATGGGACGTTCGGTAACTCTCATTCGATAACTGTGTTCTGAAAAACGTTTGTAGCCTTTGCCGGTCGAGAAGTTCGAGTAATCGTACGGGTGTGACGTCATTTCGGTTCGGTTTCGAATACGACAGTTTGACGTTTTGAAAAGAAATCGTACGATATCTAATCGAATCGGTCGACAACAGTTATCGTAAGGTTCTGAATCGACCTGCTGGGCTGGTAGCTGTAAAAGTGGCCAAATACTTTCATAGATTTCTCATAGATGGCGCTACGGCTAGACAGTCGTTGTATTTTTACATGGCACTATTAGAATTACTTTAAAATGCAACTTCGACTTCCTAGGTCAGTAGTTTGTCCTACGATGCAGTAAAACCATTTCCGGAAATCGTAAAAGTAATTAATTAATATTTCTGTGCCTTACTTTCTCCAACTCGTTTCTTATAAAGAGTGATTATTCAGGAGATGCCAATGTTAATTTAGATGCATTACTATATATATATATTCTTATATATAGTTCCATGTATTTATATATATATAAATATATGGAACTATATATGGAACACCTTTTACCGACCATTGATGATGACAAAATGCGTCTACAAGGTGAAGAAATTTTACAAAAGGCTTCTTGGAAAAATGTGCTATTGTCAACGCATTATTATTTCTACAGGGCCGCCGCGAGGGACTCAAGCCGTGCTGCCAAAATCACAAAGACAAAGTGGAAAAAGAAAACCTCAACAAAGCAAGTCCTAAAATATAATAATGTAGATTAATAAGGGGTTATTGTAAAACATCGACGTAGAAGCGACAAATACCTTTTCGCTGTATGTTTGTAACTGACTTCAAAAAGGAGGGAAGGTTATTGCTGTTTCACCGTTGATTTTTATATACATAGTTTAATAAATAATGCAATGAAACTAACAAAGTCAAGTGTATAAAGGAAATTTCAATATGGATTCTTAATAACTAATAAATGTATAATAATATGGTGAGTGTCAAATTTATTAATAAATATTATAATTATTTACTTATTTATGTATACATAAATGGGGCTATAAGTACGTAACAGCTTTATTTTGTCAAATGTGGTGTGAAAAAATGAATTTGTAATACGAAGGAGCGAAGAGGGAGGGGCGCAGAATAAAATGCGGGACCTTCAAGTACAGCGCGTTTATTAAATAAGGCGTAATAGCTGTTGATAGAGATGGGCGTTGAATGGACGATTTAGTCGAATCGACCGTTCACGTCCAATCGACGTTTCTACCGTCTACCGTTATTCGATTAACTAGTAGAATTCGTAGACGGCTAAATGGAGAGTCCACGTTCCGCTCGGATACGTTCCACACTTGTACGTAATACAATTTAATTTTCTTATATTTTACACATTGATCAATGCTAGATGATATAAACCGACTGTATTTCGTGAGCATTTGTATGGAACAAATGGTAATAAACAAATTAGGATCAAATTCAAATTCAAAATAATCTTTATTTCATAGGTAAGCATTATTACACTTGAAATCGTCACAATGGTTAAACTCTACCGCTCATTCGTAACGCAGATTCCCCTGAGAAGAATGAGCAAGAAACTCTAGGGGTTGCTCTTTGTAAATAACATTTCAATTTTTTTTTTTATTTGAAACATCAGAGATCGAGACTACCTCCATGAACTAAACGGGTTACTACCACGGATTTTTGTCATCCAAGTACGCAGAAGTTGTATAATAACCTTTAGTATAAAGGTTTTGTTTCACTATAGTTTTAAACCTCGTGAAAGGCAAATTTTGTATATCAACCGAAATCTTGTTATAGAAGCGTATACATTGCCCCTTAAATGATTTTTTGACTTTGTGAAGACGACTATCAAGAAAAGCTAGTTTATTTCTATTCCTCGTATTAATGTTATGTCTGTCACTATTTTTCATAAATAAATTACTATTCCTTTTAACATAAATTACATTTTCATAAATGTACTG